ACAATGGCTGGCAAACGTATAAAGCAGTTGCTTAATTCAATGAGTAACGAATGGTGGTTAATAGTGGATCAAATAGGAAAGATCGTCGGCAGGCAGGAAGGAGTAAACACTCGAGTGTGCCTAAGTAATGAGCGAGACTCGGCATCATCTTCACTCGGTTTCGGACTTGTATGCAGCCGACGAGATAGAAGTACTTCTCTTAGAAGAGATTCGTGACCTGGAACTACCAGCCTCTGCATATTCTAGACCTGAGGACATTCAGGACTTTGATATTGGTAAGAAAATAATTTGTAAACTGCAAATATTTAGAAAGAATAGAGTATCAACATATACATTATTTGATATTATATTAATAGCAGGCAGTAGAACAGGGGGGCAAATTAGCTCCCAACCTTTGGAGCTGGATTCACCAGGGGTCCATTCAACAGTCCATTCATGGGACTCACATGCTAATTATCATGGTCACTATGGCTATGGTGATCACCATGGCTCTTCCTCAAATGCTTTGGCTTGGCCAAGAGCAAGTCATTTGGTACTTTATTGTGACATACAGGGGCATCTTAAAACTGCTATTGGTGTTATTAGACTTTTACTACTTGTAAGTACTATGGCATTTAGATTGTTATTTCATTTATTTATTCCTAAAACAATAAGTTACCTTAAATTGTTTACATAGATATCATCTGCAGCGTGTTTGGCAACATTATGCAGCTCCGGCACTGCCAAGGTCAGCTTATTTATGTTGCCTTTAATCGGGCGGCTGCGTTTCATGATCTTTGTAGCAGTTTTCTGTTTTTTGGTCACTGCATTGCTCCTCTTCCTTGATATTTCGCATGTTATATATGTTTTTCCTTTCAATTGGGCAAAATTGGTAAGTAGTCAATGATTTATCAATATTCTATTTTTAGTTAATGTTACCATCATGATTAAAAATATAAATTTTTATATGTGTATTTATTAATGATTTAATATTTTGACACTGATATATCTGATAGAATCCACCTCTTATAGAATGCTTGGATATTCACTGGTATAGGCTTATCTTATGCCTTGAGTAGTGCATTATTAGCATGCTCTATATGGGAATATCACAGTGGTGGCTGGGTGCCAAAACGCACTCGGTCTCAGTTGTCTGCCGCGGCAGCGCTTGGATTGTCATGTGCTATTTTAGCCTTCTTACTTTCATGGATACATGGTCGCAGTGGATCAAGTTGTAGGAGTTCAGATAGTCGCAATCATACACCAACACAACTTTATAAGCCTGTTGACAATTCTTCCTCTTCGGGAGTAAGTAATTTTATTTCTTATCATTATTTTATAACTATATTTAAACTATTCTCAATAATTCTAATTTTTATCTTTTTAGGTTACTCTCAAAGAGCGGAGCCCTAAGAGGCCTGCTTCATGGGCTGTCAAAAATCAACAGTCAAGGAAACAAAATATAGACAGTGATACAAACACAAATAATGGCCATCACAGCAATGATAATCATACAAAATACAAGCAAGATGCCAATAGAAAAGATCACTGGGCTTCTGCAAGGGAACACTTCTTACATACCCAAGAAACTAACGAAGATATTCAAAGAAGTGATGTCGATATTGAAAGGAGAAGGAGAAGGCGAAGAAGAGATGGTGATAGTAGTTCAGGCGATGGAAATCTAATAAGTACCAAAACCAATAGTGGTCATATTCTGGAGGATAATAAATCTAGACGGGTGCCGCGGAAATTACCTCTACAGTCGGTAGAACAATCCCGACCTTGGCCTGGTGCTGAACATAGAGGCAGTGGTTCTATACAAATTAGAAATAAAACTTTACAAATGCCAGTGAACAATAAAGCACAGGACTATTGTGGCATAGATGAATCTAGTTCAATGCAAGTGACTCAAAATGGTTTCCACTGGGAAATGGAATGTACATCTAGCAACAGTATGGAGAAAGCAGCAGAAATAGCTATGGATCGTACTGCCATGTGGACTGGACAATGGCATCCACCACCTGATGACGTCCAACCTTGTTCTAGCAAAACTATTGATCCTTACAGCTTTGCCTGATTGAATATAAAAACGCGTATACATGTGTTAGAAAATGTTGGACTCATTGCAGTGAATGACTTTTGGGAACAGCTATGTAATACAGAAGTTTCCCTTGAAACGATAGTTTCGTAATATCATATTGAACCTACTTTCACTGTTTGTATTAAGGAAAGGATAAAAAAGAACGAAAATATTTTATTGTCTTACCAATGAAATATTTATATTGTTTCTAAACGAATTTGTCCAAATTGAATGTGTTTAAACTTACATATGTAAAAGTCACTTTAATGTTAAAGTAGTGCACAGTGACCATAACGTCTTTGTTATCATCTTTTAAGTCTATATTTTTCTTCTCTGTGCATAAAATGAGATTAAGTTTGGAATTAAGTTGTTAATCAGTTACTTATGCAGGTGTAGATAAATTCCAGAAAAGCTCTATATTGCAATCAAGACCATGGAATAATGTCTTATGTCCAAACATTTAAGAATCCTATATAAAATTATTGTTGCCTTGTATATTATGCTGCCAAGAAAATAATTTCTTTTTAGTTGTCGATTTTTGACATTCTGCATTATACAACCAGACTGCCCGTCTTTGACATACAGATAATGTCATTTCATTCCAATTATATATCAAATAATAAACCTAAGTATTAACGGGATTATTTGTAAGTATAACTTATATTAATAATTAAAGATTAAAATATTTATTTATTATTTTGTTATACTTTAATGTCAATATATTCTGTTTCCATGCATACTCAATAGTTAATAATCAGGCAAATGTATTAATTAATGTATTAATTTAATGTATTAATTTTATTACAACTGTAAATTTATGAAAATTGTTTTTTAAACAGGCAACAAGTATTTATATTAAGATTGAAAAACTAATATCAGTTTAGCATTTCTTGTTATAAGTGAATTATACAGAGAATTAGTATGCATGGAACAAGTGTTTAAATTATACTATTTCGATTATTGTTCAAAATGATATTCTTGTTGCACGGAGATGGACGTAGAAATGTGTTTCACAAATTTAGACGAGAATTGATAAACACAAGTTATTTTCTGTAATTATACCATAACGAAATCTAGTTTTTTATTAGTATTTTATACGTAAACGGTTGAGTTTTATACAATTATGTAGTTTGGTAGCTTAGAAAAAGTCCATCTCTATTTTTGTAAAAGGTATACGCACTATTTGCAAGAAGGGAATATAACGATCAGTAATGGTATTGCATTACTTATTTACTTTAATGAAAATCTCAAACCATTTCTAGTCCAGTACTCTTGTACAACCTTGTCTCTACTGATTCATCAAATTAAAGAGCAAAGTAATTTTTAGTACATACATATCGTATTAGAGGTACAATTCATCTTGAAAATTATCAAAAGATTGTGTTTCTTGACCGTTTGGTCCTTGAAATCTCTTTTTACCATACAACAAGTGGTACATAGAATCGATTATATTGGGACCTCTGTTTTGTTTCACTTGATTAAGATTATTATAATCATATAAACACAAAGAAGTAATTAATTTCGACTAGAATCATAAGTGACAGCTACTTTGTCTTTTGATACAATATTAGAATATATACATCTGGATCAGGCATCTAATTATATGTTGGCGTGTATAACGCGTCAGTTATCTAATTAATTGATTAGCATAAGGAAAAAATGCGTGTTCATATAGGATCATAAAGAAAAAAAGAGAATAGTATATATTATGGTAGCTTCGTTGTGTCAAAATATTGATGATGTTGTAATTTGGTTTTCTTGAACACAACGAAGAAATAAATGTAATTTTTCTTATACATGGTACATTACTGGTGTACTGATAAAGTGTTTAAAAAAAATATGGATAGATTTCATGATAAAAATGTTGGGTGGAAATGTTACATGGTGCAAGATATTTAGCTTAAAAGTTTAAGTAAAATAATTAAAAAAAAATGTACGGACACTGCCAGAAGAAATATAACGCTCTTTGAGTGTCATGTATGTCGAATAACTTTGTTACTTTTCAATAACTTAGTATCAGAGGCTTTACCTCGCTACGATTTGCAATACCTCAATAAATAAATCGTTAGACTTATATTTAGTATGTGAATCTACAACAGTGTTTAATGTATTTCTGTATGAACTTTAATCGAAAACGCTTCAGATTATGGCACAAATAACAAAGATTAACATTAGGTTTGAACTTCAATCCATCGCAATTTATTCTAGAAAGTAAAGAAGTAACTAAATATTACTGTTTAAACAAAGTGCAAATCTATTTCACCATTGTAACAAGATTGTTAGTTTTCTGATAAACATACCCTTTCTTTACATTTTATAAATGACATTGATTGAAAAATAATTCTTTGATTAATTATGGAACCAGTTATTAAAATTCGTATAAATTGTCTAAAACTTTCTTCTACTACTTATTCTTCCTTCTAATCTTGGTATCACAAGTTTTTATTTCTTGTATTATGATATATTTATACAATATTTCTTTTAGGTATTTATAAATATTTTTTTATTTTATTATGAAATCAATTTAAAATCCAGAGAGGTATTTGCATTAAAAAGTAGCATGACAATTATCTGATCTGAAATTCATGTTATTTTTACCACTGAATTTAATTAAATTATGTTGAACAATAGCACACACTGTACGCACAAAAGATTGTCTAGAGCTAAACAACTGCTATTGTTTTATTTTTTGCATATATGATTTAATTCCATGAATGGTTTATTATTTAACTTGAAATATATATATAATTATTATTGAAGTTTCATATTAGTCTCTTTTCCAAATACTATATAGCCTTAATAAGATTAAAATATATTTTCAATTTGATATATCTTATTCGCTTGTAAAATGATACTTTCAATTAAATATTTATAGGATTATAATGTGATGTAGGAAATTAGAATAAATTTATTGAGTTATATTGCATTCAAACAATAATTGGAATGGAACAGTTTAATAAGATTTGCTTATACACATTATTTTGTTTTGAACAACTATAATACTAAATAATGACAATCCAAAAGAGATACATGAACTACATGACACAAGAGATCTTTGGCCTAACTTTGATTCATTGGATATTACCAAAAATAAAATGTAAGGGTCCTTACAACCAAAAAAATCAATTGCTGTAGATCCTTTGGATGTATTTCGATTCATAAATAGATATTAATATTAAGTATTGAAAGCATCATTTGTATGAAAATCCATTTCTATTAGGATGATGCTGTCAATACTGTTAATGATAAATATGGGTATATAATAATGTTTCTATTATAGACTCATTGTGAAGGTAAAATGTTTTCTGAAACAAGAAAATATTATTGTGAGTTGACATATGTGATTGAGTAAATTACCAAGAGTTACATTATATATTGACCTGTTGGTAATTTGTCATACTTCATTGCGATTGTTCTGGACAATAACGATTAATGATCGAATGAACGATATAACACCTAAGTTATTATTACCGTTTATTCTTTTAAAAGTTATTTTGTACATTTAGAAATAATGAAATGAATGACTGTTGTGTAGTATAGAGTCTATACTGTAGACTATACAAAAGTCATAAGTGCGTATATTATATGTTAATTATAAAATATACTACGAAATGTTAGTAATTAGCAGCAATTTTGTTCTATGTTAATACTAAAGAATATGTGTACATTTATTAGTTACTATGTTGTAAGTATTAAGGCTCGATTGACGTCAACATCACAAACATGCAACAATAATTAAACAAAGAAAACTATTACGCAATCGTCCGAAATACAAACGAAATTATTAAAAATATTCGCGATTAATAATCTAATACTCAATTATTATCTTTTGCCAGTGCCAAAAAAATTATAGAATATGTGTATGTATATGCATGTATATATATATACATATATATATATATATATATACGTGTGCACATGTAAACGTATCAATGTTCCATTAATTGTTGAGACTGGTGCGAGATAAATGAAAGAATGAAAAACTTTATTTGATATGTATTCTCTTAAATCAACAGTCTCCATCAATATTTTATTATATTATTTGTATTCTTTAAGGAACTTTCCTTTAGTACATATAACTTTATGGAATATCTGCATATATGCTGCTATGCTCTGACTATTTTCTATAATTATTTGTCTCGATATGTATGCAAAGAGTTTATAGATTAACATATTTTCAAGAACTAAGAACCTTATAGAGGTCAGTAATAATTTTTTAATTATTCATATTGCTGTTTTCTATCTCTTTCAATTTCCCAACTATGTCTTCTAACTTTTTACGTTGTACACTTTGTTTCATTCGTTTACTTTTATCTTGCGCAAAACATTGAATATCCATTGTCTTTACATAATGTAGTACAGAATTCCTTTCCAACACAAGAATGAAAAAATAAGAAAATATAGCATTTAATTCAAAAAAGTATACAAAAAGGAACGGAAAATAAGATTGCAGTAGAAGATATATATGATTAGAAAACTTACTCTTTATTCCTTGAAACTTGAAATGGGAACTAGAAGAAGATAAAATGAATAAAACAATTAAATAAATAATTAGGAATATTTATATATTTGAATATATAGTATTCAATATTTAATTGTATCTTACCTGCTGTGGAAGTCTTAATTGTTTCATGGTTGGATGTTTCCAACTGTTGTATTTCATCCAAGCATATGGAGTGTTATGTATATTTGATAATTTTGATTGTGTCATAGTATGTACTGCAAATTGTGGATTAACACTTAATGGTCCACGTTGTAATAATTGCTGCTCCTGATAGGAATGATTGGAATAATATGGATCATATTTTGTGAAATTTTCTACAGATGATATTCCCAAGGAATTTGCCACTGCCACTAAGAAATAATAAATATATACATACATATAATCTCATATGCTTATAAAAAATGTTAAAAAGATTATAACAATTATAACAAACTCTTGGCTTTCTGAATATTGAGTAAAGTATCATAGTACTGTTTTTTAAATGTAACCAACTCTGTAATAGATGCAGTTTGTTGTAAAGTATTCAAGCTTTTTGATTTTGTTTGCTTCACTGCAGATCTGTATATAAATAATTTTGTTAAATAAGTTTGCTGATCATGAAAGATATTAAATTTACACAACAACTATATGGTACTTGTATAGTAAATTTTCTATGTAGTCCTTTTTCTCACATTCTATTGTTTGTGTTTTACTAACTACAGCATTTAAGCTCTTATGAAGCATTTTTAACTGAGTTGGTTTTGGACAAATATGAAATGTTTCCAAGCATTTTTTTTCAATGAATTTTGTTGTATCCTCTAGTGTATTAATATTTCTAGAATTATTTGTGTTATTACTCGAAATATCTAATTGATTATTCTTTTCCAGGTTTCTTTGATCTACAAACTTGCGATGTTTGGATGTAAGAGGAACCATATACAAAGGTTTGGTCCTAGGCAATGTTGGAAATTCTGCATTATAAAAGAAGAAATGCTTTTAATATTTGTATACATTGAATTGAAATATGTTAATGATTGATGAATATAAAGAGTTTTATTACTGATTAAAGTCTCCTGTTCTACACGTTTTAAAAAGTTCTGCAAGCTTGTTTTAAGTTTCTTATGCACCATTAAATTCTCTTCTTCTAATGTTTGTAGTGTCATCTTTTACAAGAATTGCCATAAATTATTTAAATAATTGCTATGACTAAAAATTTCCTTTACCTGTATGTTTATTATTGTATCTTTTCTTTCTTCTTCACAATATACAACATCCATTTTATATATATCTTGTTGAATTGCTTGTTCATTCTTTAATTCTTGTTTAAAATGTTCTTGAACTTCCATGTCAAAAATTTTATTTTTGTTCAAATTACTATACTTTTTGAAGTTTTTATTTACATCACTATTATGTAAAATCTCACAATTTGTTCCTGATTCTACAAATCTATCATCATATGTTATTTTCAAATTGAAGATCTCATTCTTATTCTGTTTATTTGAAATTATGCCATTTTTATATAATTCTTTTAAACATGTAGTATCCTGTAATATCATTTTTACAATCACTATTCCAGGATAGCTAAATTAACAATATTTTTAACAAATTAATTGTTACAAACCTGATGGAGTGCATAAGGCATGTTAGCTATATTGCACTGATTCCAGTTATTGAATCTATCAATGGACAACTGGAAGTACTTATCATCCATTGATTTAAAAAATCTTTGTTGGTAACCAGATGCAGAATTTCGATAAAGATTAGTTTTATACAAAAGATGAGGAGTATGGAACCATTTCAATGTTGACTGAAGTTTTAATGATTCTTCTTCTTCATTAGTATTTAATGAAAAACTTTGTTTGCTATTAACGTGAGGTTTTATATATGGAATATTGTAGTTCAATGTATCATACATATAATTCACATGATTATGAATTGTTGAAATTTCATTAGGAGGAAAACCTTTGAACACTTCAGGTACTGAAGATGCAAATTTTTCATGCAATTCAAGATTTTGAGATGTGTCAAGTAAAATATTTTGGTTTAGATGAATTTCTGAGTCTTCATTTAATATTTCTGTATTAGATTCTTCAGGTGTCATGGTAATTCTAAAAAATAAACTTGTAATTAAACATTATAAAAAAAATAATAAAAATTAATTTAATAAAAGTCATACTTTTGACACAATGACTTGTTATTGGGTGCTTTAATTAATTCAGTAATTTTAAATATCAGATTTCTTATTTTATCATTTGAGACACCTTTTGGTAACGGTACCATAGAAATTATCTGTTGTTGTAAGTTGCTATCCAAATTTTCAGATAATATAAGTAAAGCTCTTAATACACGTTCATATGCAATTATACCATCATTAGGATGGTACATACTTAGCAATTGATTTATTGCTTTAATAATATTCGTGCCTTTTGAACTTTGCTGTAAAGCAGTCCATGGAAAATTTTCAAATGTGGAAGTAATATTTATCATGGCATTCCTATTTTCCGTAATTGCTAAAACAAAGAATGAACCTTTTTTAGGTAGTTGTTTTACAAATCTCAATGGGTTTTCGGTTTATTTTATGCCATTTTTATTACAGGATTACATATAAAATATATCTATTACTACTATTATAAATACTATTATTATACATCAAATAACGTTGTTACTTACTATTAGAAGAGCTTTTTATCTCCATTTCGACATAAACGTCTTTCTATAAAGTGACAGCTTTCTTCGATATTAATACAATCAATTGGTAATTACCAAATAATGAAAACAGCTGCTTTGATATATTATTGTCGACAAATGAACAACGCGTTTCTCGCAAGTTCGTTTGCAAGTCGATTGAAATCGGATTACAATTCGAAGTGGGAAGGTGTTCTGTTCTTATATTCAGTAAATGAAAAATGATACATGCTGAATTTCTGATTTATAGATAATAAAAATAAAAAGATAAAAAATAGATTATAACAATGAACTAGAACAATGAAATGAATAAATATAAATGTATTTGTTGTAAAAGATAATGTTTAGAGTAATTAAAATATTTACAGAAGCATAATGGCACAAGTATGAAGGAAATTACTTTCCCAAGTAGCATGAAGAAATTGTATTGGTTAATTATAAAACACAAGTGTATCTCCTGTATGCCATGGATTATTTTAATGAGAATATTAGTCCTATGCTAATAAGCTTAAGAGCTTTGCAACTATTATTATTTGACTGCTGCTATAAAAGCAGTAACAACACAGAGTTCAATAAGTTGGTGTAAGATGATTCTCCCAAAAGATCTGGTACTTTTCTCTTATTTGATAGTATTAACTAGAGCATCTTTTAAAGGCCCTTCAGGAGCAGCACCATGGGCAAGCTATGCTTCAAAATCTGGTAATATAAAACACTTAATTTTTGAAAACATAATTTTAATAAAATAATGTTAAAATTAAAATTTTGGGGTAGAGGCTTTAATATTTCACATAAATGTACAAATGTATATGTATATATTTTATATATCCTTCCTTATATGAAAAATGTTCTTCTAGCTTATGCAAGAGCTCTCGGACTACCAGTAACAGAAATGGACACCATAACAGTACCTTATATACCAAAATCTCCCTCCTTCCCAAAATTTGTTGATCCTAAAATGATGATTTCGAAGAAGACAGATATGCTGAGCAACTTGTTTGGTGGCTTGGGACCTGCTTATCCCATGAGCTTCAAACCATTTATGCCATATATAGTAAGTCCATCTTTGTACAATACTGTTGACAAAACACCATTATTAAGTAAAAGTAACGTGGATGATGAAGCTGGCCAGTACAAACGTGGAATTTTCGGACCTTTCGGTTCGAAACCTTTTGGTCCTATGGCTTCTAAGTTTGGGCCTATGCCTCCATTTTCAAGCTTAAATACCATACCTGACTATAGTATGAAGGATGAGATTTCCCGCAGAAAAAGAAGCATAGATGAGTCTACTGTAACAAAACTCCGTTCAATTATGGGCACTGGTAAGCCAGAAACAAAAGATTTGGGACCTTCACCTCCATATCCCACTCTTGCTCCAATTTCTGAAGAACCAGAAGAAGATGTGAATGTACTGCTTAAAAGGATGGGAGGTCCGACAGCACCAAAACAATATTTACCAGGAATGTTTGGACCTTTTGGACCTGTGGTGGATCCATCTATGTTTATAGCAAAGAAAACTACCTTTTTGGATAATTTGTTTAAAAATATTGTCACTTCTACTCCAGCACCAGGTCCGATCGAAGTTCCAACAACAAAAAGTACCATTGTACCACCTGACTTTTGGTTACCATCATCTGTAATCCCTAATCCAACAGAGTACAATGATAAAGTATCAGAGTTCCTGGATAAATTGTTTGACACTTTAAAACTGAATAAAACTGCACTAACTAGCGATGACGATAGTGCAAATTTTAAAAACGATTTGGTGAGATCTATTGTATCTGATGGAAGTCATGCACAAGTAAAAATAGCAAGATCCATTGAAGACATCTCATCGATCAATGCCGCTAAAGATTCAATTGTTAGCAACATATTATCTGAATTGGGTGATTTAAAAAGCAACATGATTACAACAATGAACGATTTGATTTCTTACGAAAAGTCTGCAACATCACTATCATCAAAGAAACCATTTAAACCTTTTAGTCCTGGTCCATGGGCAAAACCAACAATCGATGGAATGTTTTCTTTTCAGCAAAAGATGGGTGTTTTGAGTCAAGTATTTGATATGTTAACTGATTTACAGAAGAATATTACTTTGGCAGTCCAAAATATAACAAAAGCAAGAATGGCATCTACAGCTGCTCCCGGAGGAGCATTTAATGCCAATTATCTAATGACTAATGACATTCTTTCTTCCCCTAGTGGTTTGCCCATTAACATGAGTCTATTAGATGCTATTAAACATAAATTAGATACATTAGATTATGGAGTGCCTCTTGCATACAATCCGAGTTATAGTAAATTCGGGCTACAGATGGCTCGATCACTGCCAAAAGGTCCTGGCTCAGTTTGGGTTTCTTATCCTGAAGATGCAGGAGGTATAAAGCGCGAAATTGTCAATGGTGCTGAATCTTTTCTGAATGATGGAAGCAGTCAAAAACAACAAGCACGTTCAGTTAAGATGCAAATGCATCAGGGATATCAGAGTTTGCCAGCTGGTTCTATAGAGTCTGTACAGGCAGGTGGAGGATCTACACCTGAACACCAAGGTGGAAGAATCAAGTTATATGTAAGCATTTAAATCGAAACAACAGTTTCAGATTAAATATCTTTTTGAATCTATATATTTGTATTTTACATTGTATATAATGAAAGCTAAATATGGTAGTTAACAACAATTTGTATCATTGTAAAACAAATGATGGGTTGACAAGATATCTTATACAACATCGTAACTTCATTTGTTTCCAGATACAAATGCCTGTATTGCCTAATATGCAGGTGCCTGTCTTTCAAAATAATAATTACCAAAACTAGGTATGTGTAATTTGAATACTGTGAATATTGTGAACATGTTCATCTGTCACAGGATCCCAGCGATTACGAGGACTATTATAAGTGGGCCAACTGGATGGAATACCTGAGAAATGACAATAGAGGATACAGACATCACAATCATCATTAGATTACCGACCTAGCAGGAATATTTCTATCACTTGTAATTACAAACTCTCTATCTTTTAACTGATCATTTTTTTCGCATACTATATATAACGTGTACGTTTGATGATACCTTTCAATAAAGTATATTTTGCAAAATACATAGAGAACATAAAACCATGTACTGGGAAAGGCACAAGTTTAAAGAATTTTACTATTTTAAAATATGTAAGAAGAGTTACCTTAAAGATATATAACGTTTTATTAAATTTACTATTATGTTTATAATATACGCTATATATACAATTTCGTATGCGGTAAATGAAATGAAAAATATACGGTTAACAGTGATGAACTTAAAATGGTGAAAAAAATACGTACATTGATCAAGCAATCATCTGCGCACATGGACGCAATCCTGCATCAAGTGCGTTGCTTTGTTTCTCTGTAATCAGCAATGCATTGCACGCAGGGTAGCGTTAGTGTGTTAGGAAGCACCAGAATTAATAACATGCCTTGGTCTTTGGAAAAACAAAAGAAAAGACATATCATTCTCATGTCCTAAATGTTTCAGTTCAATTTTCCTATTTGGACTAATAGTTCATATACAGGGTGGTTGGTAATTGATGGTACAAGCGGAAAGGGGGTGATCCTACGCGAAAAAAGAAGTCGAAAATATAGAATAAAAATTTTTCGTTTGAGGCTTTATTTTCGAGAAAAGTGATTTTGAATTTTCGCTTGCTACGCGTGCACTTTATCACGTCTCGTTATAACGGATCTCACTGTAGATCGTTGTCACGATGGAAAAATTAAAAAAAAAAATTAAAAGAAAAAAATTTTTATTCTATATTTTCTACTTCTTTTTCGCGTAGAATCACCCCCTTTCCGCTTGTACCACCAGTTACCAACCACCTTGTATAACTACGCTTTCGCTATTTCTTATATAAAGTCATATAAAATTATGAAAACGGCAGTACTGGTAAGTGTCGACGTTGGACATCTAATTTACTTCTTTTTGGTAGAAACTTCCAATTTTAATGATAGCAGTAACAAGTCATTGCACGCATTTTTCACTTAATATTACATTTCAAACTTTGATATTTTACTGTGTTGATTACATCTTATATCAAGAAAAATTTTATCATCTGCCTTTTGTCACTCTGGATATAAGATGTTCCATTTGCTGATCGATTCTGAACACCATATAAAAGGACGCCAGTACACTGCTTAATGTTACCAATAATCCCAAGCCTTCGAATATTAACTTCGGCGCGAAGATCTTCCAAACCATTAAATGTCGACAGTGAATCGTCGTAGCAAGCATGCTACCAAATGTCTATATGAAGTTATAAAAACTCATCAATAAAAATAGTTTTTAAACTTCAAATTATTTCTTTAACAGTGATTATTTATTTAGTTTATACTTAGTTTATATTGTTAAAACATTAGCAGATCTAAAATATTAAAAATGTTGCTTACTCTGATTCCATGAAGTAATATATATTTTCCTGCAACTGAGAAAATTGCAGCATGAAACACAGAATCTTGTTCAAACAGATGCAGTTCTCCTCTTTTCATGTTGTCTTCCGAAAATTTTATTTTAGCTAACTTTGGAAATACAAGATAAAAAGTAAATGGTACAATAACTAATAGTGGTAATGTTGCACCTAGTATAATGTGTGATCCGAATGTGTTTATTCCTACAAATTATTACTTGTAGAACGAGATTTAAAGTTAATACAAACAAGATTATATATAGATACCTATTAAGATTGCTGGTAATAAATTTCCATAGAAATGTCCACCTGTTCCTACAAAAGCAGCATCCCAATGAATTGTAGGGAAAGTTGGTTGATGCCCAGTTCCATAAAAGAAATATTCTGCTATTAAGAACCAACACAATAGTATGGGAGTAGGTACTTCTACCAGTTCAGCTGTTTATAAAATTATAACAATAAGAATGCAGTTTTGTAATCTAAATCATTTACATATTATCTATAGGTTAAAGTACTTACATATACTATTAGCATTCTTGTATCTTTCTATCGCTGATAAGCCCAAAACAGAGGTACAACATATAAACATTAAGAAAGTACTAGGTGATAATATATCCCCTAACAATAAAGAATATAACAACATAAGAAATACACTTAATGAGACAAATGTGGCACTATACGCAGTACCCAAGCCATAAACAACTGGTGTTTGATCTACGTCTATATTTTTTCGATAAATTGACTCCTTTATTTTCTCAAATAATCGAGGTACTACATTTTCATCTTGGTATATGTTAATTAATTCCTTTTTCTTTGGTAGTAAAAATATACTGAGCGGACGATAGTATAATATAAAGATTGCAAACAGACTCAATGCATATACTATGTTAGGCAATGTGCTTACTTGCCAAGACAGTGCAAATTTTACTTTTACAAATTTTGGTAACCTTTGAAGGACCCAATAACAACCCATACAAACACCTATCACAACAGGACAGTATTGTCCTACTAAAACACTAGGAGAGAAACCAGAAAGGTTTCCACAATTTTGCAACCATAGTCTTATTATTGTAATGTGTAATGCAAGTATAATTAATGTGATGGCAAGTAAAATACGTTCTAAATTGTCCGATGTTATAGAACTTGTTTTACCAAATATAAACATAGAACATACACTTTGTTGTTGCTCCTCTCTACAACGCCAGAAGTAATAAGATAATCTTATGGAAATACATGCTATTAAGCTACTGGCTATTATAATTATCTTCAAGTTTGATTTTGTTTGTTGTTTTAAAAATGGTTTTGTTTTTCTTTCTGGATTTTCACTAGCATCTTTTTTCGTTAGATTAAACATGATAAGCCAAAGAAGAGTAACAATTAAAAAAGATAATACATTACTTTCTTCAATGATATAGCTGTTAGAAAAGAGACTGCATATTGTTAAAAAAAATACTAATCTTGTAATATAGATCAATTTTTTTATTTTTCTATAATCATACCAATTCAATGAAATAACATCCCAATTCTTAGTAATTAATATTACTAATAATATTATAGATACTGTACCAGTGGCAAACAATGTTGTGTTTTTGAATTCTTCTAAAATATTAAAGAAAAACAAAAGGCATATTATCAATGCAGTAATTAAATTTGCTAAAATAGAACATTGTAGAAATGAAGACTCAAATATCTTATACATACGACCTTCTGGAATGCCTGTGATAAATAGATAAAAGAAAAACAAAGCACAAAACATCAAAAGCAGGCCTTTTGACATTAGACTAGAATCAAATTGAACCCAAACTTCAGAACATGTATCTTTGAGCAATTTAAAGTAGTTTCGACTATTCACAATAAAAGAGTCAAATTCTTCAATAGTATTAATACTCTTAATTTGGTTAAATAGGTAGTTATACATATTTTCCAAATTTTGAAGCTGTTCTTTAGAAAATAAGTAAGTATCTTCAGAATATACACTTATGTATCTTTTTGTCTGTGCAATATTTCTCCACACTGAATGCAACAAATACCATAACTCATCTTTTAATTCCCCATTTCTTGATGAACTTGGAATTGAATCAAGTATGATAGATCCCAAGTTTGAAAATGGTATAGGAGTACCAAGAATAGATGCCAATGTTGGAACAAGATCGATTTGGTTCACAGTATTGTTAGATGAATCATATTTTATCAAAGGAACCATAGAATAAACAAACATGGCAGCTTCAATTTCATTCCTGCTTTCACCACCATGATCACCACTTTCTGTCATTCCATGATCACCAACAACAAAAAGTACTGTATCCTCTTCTAAGGACTCGATGATGTCTCTTATAAGACTATTTGTATCATTTAACTTTCTAGCCATCTCAGGATGATTAGCACCATGCTTATGTCCGCAATGATCAATTCCAAGAACGTGTGCTATCAGGAGAGACCAATCTTTCTTCTTCATCTCGAAAAATATACGGTATCTAACATCTTTATCAACACTGTCCAGATCCCAAACATTAAAAGATGGTGATGGAAATTGACGTTTAAATTTGCCAGGAAATAAATTAGTCCAGGTATCATCACCCATGAAAACTATACCTTCGGCAGTGCTTTGATCTACAATATTATCTTCGTTGATGCTTTCAGAGGCAAAATTAGACCCAATGTCAATGAAGGTTGGCAACGATCCTGTGGTAAGACCTTTTAATCGTTGCATAGTTGTTGTCGGAGGATCTGCTATGAACTTATACAAGCGTGAATTCGTAGGTTGATTTTGCAACAATTCGTGAATTATAGGTAACTTATTGCGATAATAAGATGAGGTAGAATTATTATCATTATACCAATATGCAAAATCATATTTTAAAGCATCTACGATTAATAATACAACACGTGACTTTCTTTTGAGACATATGGTTGCAGCGGCATCGGGATTCTGAAGAAGTTGCTTGACGTTACAATCAGAATCCGTGCAATCTTTACACTCAGCTCGTTCCGGTCTTGCAACGCGATTGAGTAAAAAGCCGCTCGTGAAAACCAACAAACCAGCTGCCATCAAATATGACATCCATCCTTGAAATATCAAATAATTCCATAGCTTGCTCATTTTTCCGTCGATCCGTTATTTGCTTGCGTTCTCCGAGAAAAATTTGATACTAGAGAAATTCCAACATAATCTTAACCTATTTCTCAATGTAAATTTGTTTTTTACCATTGTCACATTGTTGTCACAATAACTAGTGAACATTTGTTTAGAAGAAATGTTGGATAAAGAATATTAAACGCAAGAAACGGTAAGTCGACGAGTCATATTTTTGGAAAAAGTATGTAAACTATAACATATTGATAAAACGAGTTGAAATATGTAACTCTGTGCTTATATGGCGCTAAATTTCAAGTATGCTATTGTGGCGCGACTATAACACGATTTGTAAACACTTTACTTCGAAAATCTGTTTTTATGCAATGCTGATAAAACAGTATTGTATCGTGGTATGATAAAATTATTGTTTCGGTTTTCAACAAATTTCTCAAAGTCAATATTGCATTCAAATTTAATCAGTTGTTATTAGATTTTTATTATTCGCGAATCAAACTTTATTGAATGTGCGATTTCCGTAACAATAAAATACATATGAAGCAAATGAAAACAACAAATTAAATTTTATCATACATATAATTTTGTATTTGTTATTATTAATAATCTGTTAATAATATTATATTACCACTTAAATATACCTTTTATTTACAATAGAAATATTATATTATTTAATAATAGTAATTTCTTACATTTCTCATTATTTTCTACTGTTTTACTAAAATTTGGTATTTATGATTGTAACCGCAACTATCGTAATTTTATTCTATACTAGATTTATAACATTAAATGAGGGTTCTACATATACAGTTAACCAGTCTAAAATAAGTCACACAAGTCATTATATGCATATCGAAACCTTATCATTAAAGATATTCAAACTTGGTTATATTCACATTATTTGACGATATCATGAAAAATTTCAGTTAAAGTTATGAACAAATGGATCAAATTCTTCAGTACTATAAATCTAATCGCTTTGGCAAATCAAATAGTCGGAAATAACCTTCTTAATGTTGGAGATTCGAATTGTGACAAGAGTTTCGAACGATTATTTAAATGGAGGTCTGTTACGTACGGCTTTCAAGAGGCTAAAGTCGTGAACAAACCGATTTTTCTACTCATCCATAAAATGCAATGCCCCTCTTGTCAAAAATTAAAACAGAAATTTTCTAACTCCGTACGATTGATGGATCTTAGCGATCGGTATGTATCGAAATATGTACATACGTGTATGAACATAAATATACATCATTACTGAAGCCTGTGCTACAACCATGTCTGGAACTGGTTAATATTAGTTTTACTACCATTAGATGACGCTACAGTGGCGTCAAATATTTTTTACACAACTAATCACAATCTTTCGTCGACCATTAATTAATATGAATTTTACACATCCCGTAAGCAATGCGACATTTTTAGTTAAGTTTGGAACAATGAAAGTTATCATTATCGAAGTTTTATAAAAAAAATTAAAATAGAAAACTTAATAGGGAAAAATGAACAATTGTAAAAAATTATAAATAGGAAAATTTATCATTGGCCAGTTAACACAGCTAATTTTTTATTTTTATCTAGCATATGAAAACTAACAACAATACTTATTACACAATATTTATTATATATTATTATATATTAGTATCGTATAGTATAAGTGTTTATAATACTTTGGCAAACATATTCTTAAAATAATCAGCCCTGTAGTTGATTTAATTATATTTTTAACGAATTACAGATTTGTGATGATAAAAGCGGAAATGGGATATGATGCAGCTTTAGATGATGAAAAATTTCAACCAGATGGGAAGTATGTGCCTAGAATATTATTCTTCACATCTAACGGTGACTTTATCGAGGAGGCATATAACAATCATGCAAATGCGGATAAGGAATATAGATTTTTTTACAAGAATCCCTCGGAAATTATAAACACCATGCTGTTGGTTTTGAAAAATCATTCTAAAGAGCCATTGCGAGTAATATTTCAATATGAGGAATTGTCGCATCTAGAAACTTGCGATATGGAAGATGATATTATTGTTCCGACTCTCTTACATTAATAATGTAACATTAACCTTTGAAACATGTATGATATGGAGCTATATATGTAATCTATTAGGTTTATAACAATCTTAACTTATAATAGAAAACATTAGATGATTTTTTTCTCACTAAAAATACTAAAAAAATTAATATGACTTAATTTAATTTTGTACTTGTAGATAATATTGGAACTGGGAAGAAAGAAAGAAAAATGAAATTTTTCTTTCCCATTCACGTTTCCCACTGTTCCTTTTTATTACTTAAAAAGACGAATTAAATAGTAAGGAAAGGTATAATTAAACTAACGAGAGGAATGTTCTTTAAAGAACGCAAGTAGATAATAAATACGATACATGTACTACTACATATATATTACACTACTACATATATTATACGACTATTACTACTACATATATTTATATACTACATTTATTTCTCCAACTACAGAAATTTTCTTTTAGAGAACATTACAAGTGAGTCGAATTAATTTAACTTGACTAAATGAAATTAAAAATCATTATTCTAATTCAATTTTTTATAAATATACAAAATAAATAAATGAATTTATACAGATTCTCAAAATAAGGAAACAATGAAAAGAAAGAAGACAAACAACCAAAATAGATATCGTGAAACTTTTCTCTGAATGGATTTAATATGTAACCAATCTGAATGCGAGCCTGCAGCAGGCGTAACCTTTTCAACACTGTTCCCAATGTTCGAGTCTGCGCCCATACATTAAACACCCATGCACATCAACCTATCACCAGCTCGTACCAGCAACCCTAACGGCGCTTGCGTTTGCAACTGTTTCCATATCGTGTAATGCTGCCGTATTGGTCGACACTGTCTCACTAAGGGTTGCTAACCACGCCCATTTTACCCTCTAGAAACATAGCGCGTTGATACATGCGTTTATCGTACACGTGACTTTCTTAAAAACAACTGGTTTTCATTTCAATTACATTAGGTATAAACGATGTATTATTATCGGTGATTAACTGAAAAATGTTTGAGTCGATAACAAGTGTGAAAAATAACTTCAAGCATATAACTTATACATTATATAATTTTTGTTTGCAATAGATCGATCGACAGGAGATTTCCGGAGAAATTGCGTACTACGTAGATATGTATATCTTGGAAACTATAACAAGTTGGAGCAATATTTCAGTTTGCAAAGATCTGACACAATTTTTTGGAGCGCCTGCGCTAATATTATAATACGGTTTGCATAAAGTTTGGTAACTTCATTAGTTAGACATTTTATTACCGAGAAATGCAAGAAAGTTGAAAGTAAAACAATCTTGTCTTTCTGTTTGAATCAAAATTACCGAAGGATATCTGGCTTATAAATGACCACAATAATGTACATTAAAATATCTAATATTAAAATGTACATATATTTTACTTTTATTCAATATTGCATATTTCATGATTAATCATTTTCATTGTACTAAATATAACATGCTAAACAAGATAAAATACCTAGAATGTAAGTTTCTACTTTACTGCAACGATACCAGTTGAGGAATAAAATCAAAGACCCAATATTAAGTTCAAGTCGAGGATCGTAAAGGGTGTAAAGTATCCACATTACCATTATTCCCATGACCAACGTCTATTGGAAACAGACGTTAGATGTACTCGCGGTTGCACGAGCGCGATTCCTGGGGCAGAGAAACGGCACGTAGAGAAACGTGCACGCATATGGGTTATGTATGGATCTCGGTGTGTTCTGTGTTTGAAGGGTTGCAGATAATATATAGCCCGTTTCGGCGGAGAGAGCTTTTTAGCTTTGACCGTTTCATCCGGCGTCGGTCGGCCCCGTGTGCTATTGCGCCCCGTAATATCGACGATGCCTATATCCACGGTCCGTCACGTTTATTTTTTTTCCTCTCTTTCCCTTTCACCATCCTCTTCCTTCCTTTGGCACGGGCGACAGACCTCGGATTCGTTTGCAGTCCTGTGGCCCCATGTTTCTCGCTCTCTCTGCGGTCGGGGTTTTAAAAAATGAGCCAGGACATTATTTTTACGCGACCCTCCGCCTCCGCCTCCTCCTCCTCCCTTCCGGTTCAGCCGTGATTCGAGTGACCGGGGTCCAGTCCTCGTCGTCGTCGTTTCCGCCGGCGCAGCTTGCAATGTGCCGCATCAGCGAATGTGCAAAAATTCAAGGGAGAGAAATAGAGGTGGCGTTAGGGGAGGATTCGAGGCTGGCGAAGGGTGGGGAAACGAGGAAAACCGTTTCCGCGAAAGATGAAAATGGGAGAAAGTGAGAGAGATAGAAGAGGGGGAGGAGAAAAAGTTGCGGCGAGGTGTGAAAGTGAGAGAAAAAGGGGAAGAGTGGTGGAGGAAGCGAGAGAGGGAAGGAAAAAGATTATATATCTCTCGTCTCTCACGTCCGTCCGTTCGTACAGTCGTTTTCAGGGTATGGATGTGGCCTCGCGGATATATCGGCACCGTGGAAGCCATTTTCAATTCAATCTGTTAAAAGCACGTCAAAAAGTCATACGGTATTTCACCGGCGCGGTAGATCGCGGCGAGACCGCAGGCTTCATCCGGCGACGGTGCCGCGGTGAATGCCACCCGTGCCCTATGGATCTGTCGAAATATATGCCTCTGCATACGCCGCTCTCCATCTGACACCGTTCTCTTTATATGTATATACTATTTTCCTATCTTTAATACAAACACCAGCCATGGTTCTATGAATGCTGAGGGTATAAGTTCTTATTGATCCTTCGTCTCTCTAGATATTCTCTTGCCTTTGTCTTTAACGTTAAGCTTTTGTCGTTTAAACGTGGCTACTTTCTATCGTATCGGTCATTAATGTATTTCTCGTGTCACGAGGGCTACGTTTTTTTTTTTTTTTTAGTAGGAATTCAGAATTTTAGATTCTTTCGTTATTACAATTTAAGACTTCCTGGTGTAAGGTTTAAATCGAAATTGTGTCCTCACATCTCACCAGCAAAATGATGCAGGTCTAATGTCTACTAACGCGTGTTTGTTAACTCTTCAGTAGGTAGGATTTCATTTAGATGTTCAAACCTTGTCTTCCTCGTATTTTTAAATCCTCCTGTGTGTGTTCATCCTATGTGTTCACATATGTGAAAAGTTGTATCCGAGGTATCGCAAGGTAGATTGTGACTCTAAAAACCATATATCGGTAATTATTTGAGCTATTTAAATTGCTTGAAATTTGTAAAAGTGAAAAAATGTTGATAAAAACATAGAATCCTTTCTTTTATCTAACGCAGATATAGTGCTGCAATTGAAATAATACGATTTGTTTGTTTGTTGATGGCTTCCTCGTCGACAGATCGCAGAGAATTCACCCACGCAAGTATCGGAGATTAAGATCAACCTGGTTTTGTACCTGTTCTTTTTTACTCGTTTGACATAGCGACCTATGGTCTAATCTCTCTTATCCGATCAGAAACGATTTGATCAGCTGTTTCTTTCGTCTTGTTGATCTGTGTGATGTTGGCAAACACTGTAATTCGATACAGACGCGATTTTGATCTTAATCTGCTGTTTTCCCCAGTGTAAACAGCCGGAGGGAGCAGTGGGTAGTGTACAAAATACGTTCTTACTCGTGATACCTGCTACCATCGATAAATCAGTTACATCTGGAAACATTCTAAGATCCTAGGGTAAGAATCGTGGGAGAATCCTTAGAGGAGCTGTTATTCTTGGTCTGGATGCCTGAGGGTATACTTTATATACTGTATCTTTTGATATTTTTTTCATTTTTTGTTGCCATAATTTTAGATATGTTTCAATCTATATTTGTTCATACGGGGAATAAGGGGAGAAAGTTGGCGATTTTAACATTAAAATATAAAGAGAATTTAAAAGCTTTTGCGAGATTCCGTGTTTTCTTCCCTCATACTTCGTACAGGAAGCAATCTTAGATTTAAAAAATATGTATATCCGAGATAAATAGTAAATCACAATGAAATGATATAAAACACTTAGAATATTAGGTTCTTCCTATTATCGAAAGATTCAAGGTACCAATAAAGTTTGTTAAAATGTTTAAATAACAAATTTCGATTGAACAAATAAAATTCTTGAAACTCGATAAATATACTTTCAGAGTTACTTAATCTCTATGCATTATTAAATATTTGTTAATTATCTACATTTAAATATGGTTGAATATTGAGTACCTGCATTTAATATTCGCGAGGGAAATTAATCAATACTTAGGATGTTTTTATTAGACTGCAATTTGTAATAATTCGGGGATGCAGAAAATCGTGTACTCGGCTTATAATTGCATGGATCGCGTAAACGGGAGTGCACGAGGAGGGGTTGGCTGATACTTTAAAAGCAGGTGTGCATTACCATAGCTATTGGTTTATTGATTTATCCATCGGCGCGTACGTACGCTTTGAGTGGCTGATATGCCAGAGTAAAAAATGGTCCGTGTTGGTGTAGATCGACGGCATCGACGAATACCGTTTCGCGTTGCGGGCTTTTAATGTTGCTCAAACCATCATTGCGTTCTCACTAATGATGCACGAGCATGGATTAATCGGTTCGTAACCGCGCTGAAACGTGCCATTCACTGGAGAGCGCACGGTCAAACGCATTACTTTCGTTTTATCAATTTTCTATTCTGCCAACAATCCAACGATGACGTATACTTGAAAATAAACGTATGTTTATGTCTTTACGCTATTTATCATTATGTCACTGTTTTACATGCAACACATTGTACTACCCGTTGATATAATTATTGAAAAAAGAAAAAAATACATCAAATAGATCTTAAATATAGATATTAAATATTAATTTATAAAATAACTAGATATGCATATCTATCGCGCTTACTAGTTTATAGGTACGTATCGTAAACTACTTCTTCTAAATAATTTATAATTATCATAACACAATATCTTTGTAACGAGCTGCCACAAATAAGTAAAATTTTAGGTTGCATTGCATCTCTTTTTCTTGCTATGTATTTCTGGACCGTATGCGTATAAAGGCGCTACGATGAAAGTTACATTGTTTACTTTTAGGTTAGGTTAGAATATATTATAAAAACTTACCTTATGAGAACAGTATACTTACTTACAATTGGTATAGTTAGAATATAAAGAATGTGTTTATGGTGTTTATCTATGTTTCGCGGTTTTCGTGCAACACGTAGTGCTATTTGCATACTTTTAAAAGAACTAGAAGAAAATGATACGAAAAAGAAAATATCAGAAAAATTCTAAATAGCTTCTAATGATATGTAATGTGAATTTGAATATTGTATGTGCCTATTACGTGTAATGTGACACAAGCAGCCATAAGTACGAATAATCATTATTGAAATGCAAATACCGGTTTCTTCGAAACTACACCGATATAGTTACTTTCGTTCGCATGACTAAGTCAAAAGAGTAATAGTGCCATTGTGAGCGTTACGCGAGCCGAACGTGCATTGTTGTACGCAACGCCTGTAGACAGGCAGGAGTAGAGGTTAGGTAAGCAGAGAGATATACAGGATCTAAATCGCAGAATGCTTAATACATAGAATGCTTTTATTCGGTTCTCATTGCGAGGTAAATAACATCTGTACATTAGATCACTATAAAATCGGTCGCCATTCGTGAACGACAATAGGGCTTCCCCCCATTGAAACCTCATTGTAGAATATGATTCAAGAAAGGCTCGTCGCTATGACGTTGTGTGCCCGTGTGGTTTACAGAGAGTGGAACTCGATGGATCTGAAAAAGAAAGAAACGGAGAAGAAAAGCAAAAAAGGAAAGAGAAACAGGCGAAAAGAGATGGACTAACCGCGAGCAATCGTGACCGAGCGAATCGAGGTAAAAAAGAAAAAAGAGAAAGATAAAGATTTAAAAAAAGAAAGAAGTGGAGGAATAAGGAAAAAAAGAAGAAAAATAAAAAAAAAGAAAGAGAAAGGATATATTCCTTCCACGAAAGGGACGAAGAAGGCGCGCACGGTTAAAAACAGTCCCGACGAAACAAAAGGCGGAGCATAGAGAGAAACGTCTGAGCATCGCTCGCATTGTATTTTACGTTGGAACGGGTTTTAAATAAAAGAGTAATGTGTTTGTCCGTTTTGCCTCCACCAGCACGATAGAAAATACACACGTCTGATACGCGCTTCTGTACGCATAGTTTATCGAGGGTGAGTAGGTAGGTGGGTACGTGGTTAGGTATGTCCCCCTTTCACCCCGAGCCAGATATAAACTCTTAACATCTTGGTGGAACAGCATGTTCGGCCAATCGGGTAGATGCGCGGGCGTGGCCGTGCCTAAGCGCGGCTTTGCGTTTGGCCGAAGCCCCGGGGTGGAACACTGTGGCACAGTGTTTTATTTCGCGCAACTGTGGAGGGGCTGTTAGTTTCTGCCCTATCCCTCCCTGGTAAATTCCTTCTCTCTTTCCCCTCTCGCTCTTT